TGACAGCTCCATAAAGCTAAGTGGGCATGGGTATTTCTGCAGGAGAAGGAGAGCTTCCTTTTCACCTGAGTCTATAGAGCACCATGTGCTTGGGGACATGAGGCTCCATGGCTGTGTAGTTTCTTAGGCCAGGCGTTAGCTTAGGGTAGAAGCTTGAACAGTAACATCAGAACTGTGACACCATGTGGAGGATAGAATGCTGAGTAGCTTGAGATAAATCAAGTGGCAAGGAGGCTACCCTTTCCCCAAATGGTCATGTGCTTCTTTATTTAGTTAGACACAAGTGAGAACATTCATTTATCATAGTGAATTAGCTTTGGGCACTTGCCTTCTTCCTTCTTTCCCCAAATTTTTGACCAAAGAAGGAATAACCTGTTCACCTACCCTCTACCCAATCTATACTTTTGAGTGCTTGTGTGTTCCAGATAGAAAACTAGACCCTAAAGCAAATCACGGGTCCTCTTTAGAAGTGATCTAGAGGGGTGTGACATAACAGCAGAAGATGTGGGACACTCATGTCATTATACTGGGTGGCCACCATGCTTGGGAAGGCTTGAGTGAGAAGGAAAGCCAGCCAGGAGGGGCAAATGGCTCAGAAAGATCGAATAAGCAGGGCTCCAAAGCTCAGTAAAATGGACTTTGTTTGTTGTTTTTAACCCCAATTATATGTAGAGGCAAAGATAAATTCTTCCAGAGGATGCTAAGGTCCAGGTATTTCAGGGAGGTTTGAAACAAATGAATGAGACTTGTAACAGAGCTGAGAGAGGACAGTCTGTGGCTGTGGCAGAGCCCTGGGAGAAAACAGCTGGGGAGCCTGATGCTCTGAGCAGTCAGTAGAGCAGTGGGGCTGGCCTTAGCCAGAGAACATGGAGGAAACTTCAACTACATATATAACAGGCTCCACACTATGGAAGTGGGTTGCTAAGAGTGGAAGGGGAAGGGAAATGGGGGATAGGGAGTGGGGGATAGGGGTGGGGGGTGGGGAGAGGGAGCTGACCAGATTCTGATAAAAACAATGAGACCAGAGCATAGTGCCACCATTGATGCCAGAGTGGCAAGACTATGAAGAGAAAACAAAAACGAACACATCTGAGCAATGCAGGAGGCCTCTCAAGACATTTAAGAGCTTTACCCTAGAGGCCCAGAGTTCCTACCAAAATATGAAAGATAGGTAGGTAGGTAGGTAGGTAGATAGATAGATAGATAGATGAGAGACAAAGAGACAGAGACAGACAGACAGACACAGAGAGGCAGAGAGACAGACAGAAAGAGAAGACAGACAAACACAGAGAGAAAAATCTTTAGAGAATAAATTTAAAAAAATTTTAGAAATGCGAATTAAAATGTACCTAAATACTTAAAAAATGAGAGACAGAGACAGACAGAGAAAGAGACAGACAGAGACAGAGAGGCAGAGAGACAGACAGAGAGGGCAGACAGACAAACACATAGAGAAAAACCTTTGAAGAATAAACTAAAAAAAAACTTTAGAAATATGAATTAAAATGTACCTAACCAGTTAAAAACAAGAGAGGAGGGGGGGAGAGAGGGGAGGGGAGAGGGAGAGGGAGAGAGGGAGAGGGAGAGAGAAAAAGAGAGAGGGAGAGGGAGAGGGAGAGGGAGAGAGAACAGAAGCAGTAAATAGAAGCATTTAGGAAGAGGAGGAGGAAGAAAAAAGACCCTGAGTTAATGAAAGCTTTAAATTCAGAATGGAAGAGACTATACAAACACCCATGCAGCGGTTTGAATAAGACATGTCCCCTATAGTCTCAAGCGGTTCAACACTTGGTCCTCAGCTGGTGTTGTCCTTCAGGGAAACATAGAATCTCCTAAGGCCTTATTGGAGGAAGTATACCATTGGAGGCTGCTTTGAGAGCTTAAGGTTTGCCCTACCCTCTGTTTTCACTCTCTACTTCCTGTGTGGGGTTCATCCAAGTACTAACCAGGCCTGATCCTGCTTCCCTTCTGAGATCAGACGAGATGGGGCGTGGTCAGGGTGGTATGGTGTAGACCTTGCTTGGGGTTCATATGAACTCTCAGCTTGTTGCTCCAGTCACCATGGGTACTGCCCATGCCTGCCACTTTCCTATGATGGTGATGGTTCCCATGGAACCAACTTGCCCTTCTGTAAATGACCTTGTCATGGTGTTCTATCCCAGCAACAGAAAAGTAATTAATGCGCTAGGTCACACCAGAAACAGAACTTTAAAAGTAGATGTCCATTTGCACACTATTTGTTTTCTTAATGCTGATAGAAATGTAAGTTCAGAGCACCAGTTTAATATACATCATGCTCACGTACCCCTGGGGAAGAGAGCATTGTGGGAAGGCGGGGGAAGCTTCTGCTTCAAGTACACACATGCCCTGTTATGGATTAGTGATCTTTTAAACTCAAACCATGTGAAATATAATTATGACTAGAACAGAAACCAGAATTTGAAGAGGCAATGCAAAGTCTGATTAGAAAATCAAAAGTTGAGGAAGAAGAAAAGAAATTTAAAAAGGAGAGAAGAAATCAAGAAAAAAAAACAAGCCAAGGCAAGTGGGATTTTTGTATCCTGATATCGAAAGCAAAGCCACCGCTGGGGGAAAAGGGGAATGGACAGGTTGGCAGAGAATCATAGAAGAATGAATCTCTGTAATCACAGGAACATCCACAAGTAAGATATTTCTACACCAGTGAAGAAACAGAAAGCAAAGTGAGATTCGTTTCTATCTATTGGGCTTAAGAGTCACGAGAGAAAGATCGTTAATGCTGGGGTTGAAAGGATGGGGACCTTTAAACCAGAGGCATGGAAAGGGGGATTCAGGTTTATTTAAGAAAATTTGGCACATGAACCAAAATTAAAATATGCACTCCATCTGAAGTAATTCCACCTTTGTACAATTTATAGTAAAAAAAAAAAAACTAATTAGATTTAGGTATCGGGCTGTTCCTTGAATTGTTTATATCACAGAAAAAGACATGAGGCAAATAGTTACAGCCTGGGGATTGGTTAAATCAATTTTACTTCATTCATGCTAGGGGATATTATGCACATATTAAAAAGGACAAGGTGGATTAGTATGTGTTTATATTGCTAATTAAAACAGCATATACTTGTGAATATGTACAACACACATAATTACATTACAGATAAGAGTATTTTCTGTGTATGAAAATTTAAAGAGATAGTCACTAATCCAGAGCCTCTCAAATGTTTTGAGTTCATGGCACTCTTAAGGTGCTCTAAGCTCAAAGAAACTCTTAATATTTTTGTTTATCTAAGGTAGAACCAGGCAACTTAACAGGAATTAGAATCCTAGCAACTATATGAAATGTATATATATTGAAGAGAAGAATGTCTTAATTTCATTCTTAATCCCTCTTCTGGATGGTTTTTATGTCAACCTGACACAAGCTAGCATTGTCTGGTAAGAGGGACCTCAACTGAGAAATTGTCTCCACAGATTGGGCAAACCTGTAGGGCATTTTCTTAACCAGTAGTTTGATGTGAGAGTGTCTAGCCCCTTGTGGGTGGTGCCACCCCTGGGCTGGTGGTCCTGGGTTCTATAAGAAAGCAGGCTGAGCAAGGCATGGGGAGCAAGCCAGTAAGCAGCACTCCTCCATGGCCTCTGCATCAGCTCCTGCTCCAGGTGCATGCCCTGTGTGAGTTCCTGCCCTGACTTTCTTCAGTGATGAACCTGTTTGTAACCTGGAAGTGTAAGCAGGATAGAGTTTTCCTCCCCGAGTTGCTTTGGTCATGATATGTCATCACATCACTATTACTCTCAACTAAGCCTGTCAATGTGTATACATGCTACACACTGCACTCTTCTCCATCCAGATCTGGACCATGGACACCTTCATTTCCTAGTGCAGGTCGATTTTTGCACAGCATGGCTTTTTAATCACAAAACTTGTCTGAGAACTTGGGTTTGCAAAGATGTGACGTTAAAAAGGAAGGGATGTGACCTAATCCTTACACTGAACCAACCCAAGCCAGCATGTACATCAGATGTCTCCTCGGAGTCTCTGTCAGTGGTGCACAGAGAACCACCCTGGGCCCCAGCACCCTGCTGCAGGCTGAGAACCAGGACATCAGACTCTTCCTGGAAAGCAGGTCGGAGGAAGGGAGGAGTTTCCTTCTTTCTGCACACCAGGAGAGATTAACTTTTTATAGTAGACATCTATGACTTTTATTTAAAGAGAAAGACAAACACAGGAGTCACAGAGAACGAAAAAAAGAAATTGGAGAGCAGAGGTGAAGGAGTACCACACAGAACTGTGCCCATGCGTGAATTGTGACTGTGCCCAAGTTCCCCTCAGCTGTAAGTCAACAGGCCTGCTTCCCACGCAGGGCAGAGCGAGCCAAGCGCTGCTGAAACTATTGATGTCTGTGACCTCAGAAGGCCAGTGTGAAGCCAGCCACAGCCCAGGAGCCTCTGCCTGGGCTCCAGCCTTAAGGCTGCTGCATTCCAACCGCGTATCCCTGGGCGGGTTCATCAGCCCCACTCTGCCTCATTGCCTTGTCTCGCCACAGCGAGAACAACGCTCTTGATACGTTCATTTTAGACACGGATTTAGCTTCTCTTCACTAGCCCCCTAGCCTCTCCACTTCCTGCCTTCTGAGGAATTCATCCAACCATTGTTACATCAGCTTGAAGCAGCTGAGGGGGTTGGTAGAAAGTCCCGAGAGGTAGGGATGGTACCGAGAGGGGCTGATAGTGCTGCGATCTGAGATGAAGGAGACAAGCCCAGGCAGCAGAGTCTTCCCTTCTAGCAGCCAGAGCCACAAAATGCTGAGGAGTGGTGCTAGCCGCCACGACAGACACAGAGAACCCATGTACGAATCAAAGCCGCAAGGAAGAAAGAACCTTGAGCAAGCAGACATCAGTGCGGAGGATACTTGGGCCTTTTCTAGTCTCATTCAAGTTAAAATAAAGAAGGTAATTGCATTAGATTATGGATTTTTTCAACACTCTCCTTCCAAACTTTTGTTTGTTCATTTATGTATTACCTCATCTCTATGTCCCATAAGGTGATGTCATCACTGATCCAAGGATTAGATGGCTCTGCTGGTGTTATGAATGGGTCGTACTCCACATACTGCTCCGTGTAAGCGATTAAGCTGTAGGAGGAAGCAAGGCAAAGAAGAACTGATTTCCTGGACAAGTACGCAGTGCTGTCCCACACCGACAAGAGCAGTGTTCTCCGAAAAAAACCCACTCCCTCTCCTGACTAGCCTAGCAGCTCTCGGCTGCCCCGATCCGAACTTGTCAGGTTTGTTCTGTTACCATAAGGTGTTTGTTTGTTTGTTTTTTGATCTGCTCAAAAGTTTTTATTTTTATTTTTTTAATTTTGAAAAAGGTAACTTTATTGTTTATTAATTACATTAATAAGCCATCTTCTTAGAAGACAGCCCCCAAAACATAGCTTTCATACTAAGATAACCTCCAACTAAAGGTTATCTGTACCCACATAAAATCAATTGTAAGGGCTCTTCAAGACCATTAGTATAGGGGCTGAAGTATGGGGTCCTGGAGCTCAGTGCCCACTCTAGAGACAAGGCCTCACTCAATACAAAGCCCCGGAGTTGACTCTAGCACCATCTCCATAGTCCTGAAGATGCGGAAACGCTTAAATCTGCAAAGCATATTTTCTTTTTCTTTTTTTTGGATGTTTTATTTACATACATTTCATATGTTATCCCCTTACCCCATCCTCCTCACCCAGGAACCCCCTATCCCATCACCCCTCCTCCTGCTTCTCTGCAGATGTGCCCCTACCTACCCCCCCACTCCCACCTCCCCACCCTCAAATTCCCACTCACTGGGGCGTCCCGCCTTCATGAGGCTGTACCATAAGGTTTAGTATACACACACTGATATCCTTTCCCACGTCTTGACTCTTTCCCAGAACCACGAAGCCTCTCTCACTAATGCGCCAGCTTCACTAATACAGAAGTCACAACCTCCAAAGATTATGGATTTCAAAAGAATAAGTTGAGTCCGCAGTGAATTCCACGGCTCTATCAGAATTCCCCAACCTAATGATACACTTCCTGTAGACTTTAAAATCCCACTCGACCGTGAGTTCACACAGGTTTGGTCTCAAAAGCAGCTTAGGTTTTCTAGCTATAGTTACAACCTAATATATGTGACTAGCTTACAGGTACATAGAAAATAGAAAATGGCTAGGGGCTATGCTGGGGTAGGGTGTGTGTGTGTGTGTGTGTGTGTGTGTGTGTGTGTGTGTATGTAATGAGCCCAGTGGACCTAAGTGCCTATCGCACAATATTAAATTATCATTGGGGCCGCCAGGGAGCAATGGCCTCAACTATTTCCCTCACCATTTCTCACAGAAGCATCTGCCATCCATTTTTTGATCCTTCCTACATATGAGATGCGCTCAGAGAAGTCTGACTCTATGTTTCTAAAGCATAAGCTTTTATAACTGTTTCTGATATATTAATCTTAGGCAATGAGTTAGCTTCTCCTCACGAGTCCCCTAGCAACCCTCACTCCCTGCCTTCTGAGGAACTCCCAGATGAGTTCACCTACCCCTTGTTAAATCAGTGTCCATATTGTTAATCTGGATACAACTGCTGGTCTCCACATTACTGATCTGGATACAACTGCTGGCTACTCAGCTAACAGCAGCCCACTTTGTTCCAGTGTTTTAGCAAATCTGGGAAACATCTAGAAATACACTATCTATCCCACATCCTGTATCAGATCCTCCGTCAGGGTTTCCCTGCCTCCAGATGTCCTCCTCCACAGCCCTTAGTCCCCTGGTTTCTGTCTGGACTTCTGGCCCTCTTGGTCCTGACACAAAACCATCATCTTGGGAAGCTCTTCATTGTTATGTTGATCCTTCCTTCCATGGGTCTCACGCCTGGCTTTTGCTTTTACCTTTTAGCTGTGATGAAATACACCATTTAGTAGCTTTCGAACAAAGATTCTCGAGAGCCAAATATCTGAGTACCTGAGGTCTAAAACGCCTCTGTCAATCTCTGTGTTTGACCAATAGTGGTGGGCATAGGTCACCATGTTGAAAGTCACCTCCTTCAGAGACTGGAAGGCTTTACATGTTTGGTGCGTGGTGTCACTCCTGAGAACTCCGGGTCGACGTGGACTGCTGTTACTTTGTCAGTTTCTCTCTATGTGGATGTAGCGTCTCCTCTTACTGCTAAAGTGCTCTGCAATTTCATGATGGTCCTTCACCCGTTGTTTTGACTCATTACACTAAGCACAATCTCAACTACGTGTTAAAGACTCCCATAAATTGTATTTCTTTCTTGTTCTAATACCCATAATCCTCCACTTGTTCAACAAGACAAGTTTTGATTAACATATGAGCGGCCTGAACCATGAGTTCAGTTTTTCTTTCAGTGTTTCACCTCCCCGTTTGTCTTTTGGCTTATCTAGTTATGTTTTTAAGATGTAGGTGGACGCACTCTCAAGACTTTACTCTTATCATAGCACTAAGTTTCTCCTTTTATCAATGAAATGTCTTTTCATATATCAAAGGTCACTGATCTTCCATATTTATTATGTTTCTTCCGTCAGTTGAGTTGTTCTGGGTTCTCCAAGTCCCTTCCTTCTGTTTGAATATGTAAATGATGTCCCTTGAGTCTAGGGCTTTCCTTGAGGATCTGGAAAAAGCATGGACATCCATTTGTACTGAAGAGCCGAGTACAGAAACCTGCTAGGAGCGTGGGTGGGCATGTGGACTGAGATTATAAACTAATGGCCATTCCGGGCAAGTCATAGACTGCCTGCTTGTTTTTTAATTAAAGCTTGGAACTACAGAGTCTTTGTTCTGAAGACATTCATTTTTCTCTAAGCATATATCCACAAGCCATTTCTGCAAGGTGCACATGGTAAATGTTTGAGAACTTATGGGCTAGATAATATTGAGATCTCAGCACTTCTACTGTTTACAGTGAGGGGTGGAAGTACCACCTCTCCTCACCTCAGAAACCCCCTAGCTCAGTAGATAGTGTATTGATTTACAACACCTCTTTCACTATTATAATACAGGTGTGGGCAACACCCCTCTCCAACCCAGAAGCCCCACACTTCAGTAGATACAACACCTACCATCTCTTTTGTCCTCATTTGACCTCCATGATGTTGAATATACTGCCTCTACAGAGTAGGGGGACTGGTTTCCAGGATAGGTGATCTAAGAGCAGAAGTCTCTAGAGGCAGAATGAGTTTGTTTGGATGCTCTCACCTCATGCCTCACTCTTGCCTTCCGTGGTGCTCTTGAACCACATGTCTCCAGCGGTTAGCCACATCACTTCCTAACCACACTTCTGCTCCAGTGTGTAGATTACAATGCTCTTCATTCTGACCCCAGACACTTCCTTTCTGATCAAATTCTGAAATATTACAAGCTATCAAAGGTACACAGTTCTGGGGACAGGTTGAGAACAATCTTAACACTTGAGAAAATGAGGCAGAAGATTGTGAGTTGGAGGCTAGCCTGGGCTATTTAGAGAGACCCTATAATAAAACCAACCAACCAACCATACAAACAAAAATTGTAAAAAAATAACATCTATTCTTGATGCCCAATAGAAAAGACCAAATATTTACAAATACAGAAATGAAGGCCTACGGATTGTTTCTCCATCTCACAGATTTTTCTTCCTCAGGAAACTGTGTTGAACCCATTATTCTGACTTTGTTAACCTTAAGTTTAAGACGGATGAAGGATGCACCTCTACCTGAGCACTGGATAAGTGTTAGACTCTATTCAAGCACCACTAAAATCATGGGCAATGTTAATCAGACACTTTTAAAGATGCTATTTTAGGCAAACGTTAAGGCTGGGGCACCCTGACTTCCTAGTTAGCAGCTGTAGACTCGCCCTTGCTACCCTGAGCAAAGGATTGAGTCTAACAGCCAGCCGGACTACTCTTTCACACCCACAGCCTCCGGCTTAAAAACTCTATGGATTTTTTGGGATAATTATGAAAATATCACAGCTGATCGCCCTGGATCTTAAAGGTGCAGCCCCAGCCAGGGCTGCTTGAAGTAGTTTGTGCCAGACTTTTTGTTATCAGAACAGTCCATGAACTCTAGATGACCCTATAACCATTTCCCAGAAATGGTTTCCAGAGGAAACCCAGAGGAAGAACACTTCCCCTGGTGGAAGGACTAATTACTGTGACGGGTGCTAAGAGGGAAAGACTCTTGGCCCAGAACACAAGCCTCAATGATTATGAATAGTGCTAAGAGGCACTAAGATTCTGATTGGCCCAAACAAATGGCTGCGATTGGTCCACACCCAGGGCTCTGTAAATGGTCTGCGCACCCAGTAAGTAGACTGGGAGGCACTCTTCTGTGGTACCTTGTCTGCTGTTGTAGTATTTGGTCCGATTCAAAGGATTCTCTACAGTGATATTTTCTTGCATACTTTCAGCAGTGACGACAGAACTGGCGGCACCAAGAAAGAGACAGCAGAGAGTGCTGGCGATGGCAGCAGCTGCTGCATAGCTGAAAGGGGGCATGATTGCTCTACGGCTGGGAAAGAAATGGCCGCGGGCCCAGACATACCCAGACGTGGTGGTTCCCACTGCCTAGGAGCCCTGCGCATCTGGTCACCCCACCTTCCTGGCTGAATGTCCTTGTCTGAATGATCTCAATAGTGGCAGACGTTGGCTTCCTGAGTGGCAATCTTACCCTGGCTCCTAAAATACATTTCAGAGGAGGCAGACATCCTGAGTCATCTCAGCAGCATGCTGGCAGCTGAGATCTGAGATCTGAGAGGATCCAGGAAGAAGAGGGGAAGCAGGAAGATAAGAGACCAGAGAGATGACGAAAGGATAAACAGCTATAAGGAGCTGGAAAAACAACCTATAGGCCCTACTCATTACAAGAGTTTCAGAGAACTGCCCAGTTTTCAGAACCACGGGTCTCAGTCCCCAGGTTGAATACTGTGACATTGGATGCTGCCAAGAGCCAAGGGTCCCAATGTCTGAAGCTTGCTCAGGGCTTAGAACAATCACAGGGCTAAGGCTCCATACCTAAGAGCCTAACGATGACCCTGACACTGGAGTATGACTCGCTCCTGCTTCCTGATGCCAAGCCCTGAGGGAAACAAAACGTTGCCAAAGAC